ACCACGCAAGCTGTCTGGTTGAACCATTAAATATATTTATGAAATTTTAATATAACAATAGCATAGAGGGTGAAAGAAATCTGAAACATTTTTCATTAACTTAGATCACTTTCTTATACCTTTACAATGTACATGCCTTAAAACACTAGCTTTTCCATCCTCGGACATTTCCGTCGTCTCCCATCGCCTACTTCAGCGTTCACGTTCCCAGATCTTTGTAACCCTTTCTTAGACCCCCAGAGCTTATTTCTGCTTTCACGCTCTCTATCCAACCATTTACCACAGACAGGAGTAGTTATCACCGAGAACAGTCATGACAAAGCAAGTTCCTTCAGATCCTTCTGTCCTCCTCTCCTCTTTCTGTCAGTCTGGTGGCCCACGTGACACGGGACAGAGATTGTGTAGCAAACCTTGAAACAAACATGCTTGGGTCTAGAGGAGAGAGAGTCATAACCCAACTCCAGAGCTAGCTTCCCAATAAGGCAGAACAATTTTAATATCACCCTCATTCAAAAGACATTTGAATCCCTGCGAAACTGAATCTAGTGGCCAGAAAGCCCAGAAGTAAATTCTAAGCCCTTGTCCTAAAAGTAGTCATGGCAAGTGGCATTAGCAGTGATGACTGGCAGCTAGCAGCATCAGAGGGGAAAAAGAAAGAAAGAAAAACAATAAATACAGTAGATAGAAAGCTCACACACTCACAGGAGACCAGTCAGAAGCAAAACATGCAGTGGCCATCAATCACTCATACATTTAGCTGAGCCTGATCTATTTGCATCTCTGCTCCCATATCTGTCACAAGACTTATGGACACACCAGAAAACACCGATTCATTTGCACACACAGACAGACAGGAAAAACTTTCCAAACAACCAGGACCAAGTGGGTGAGTGGCGTCTGCTTTTGCACTGGATGGAGTGAAAAGATTTTGTAGTTGGATGATTTTGTTTGTCTACATGGGGGGTTTGGGGTGTCACATACTCGGGGATACACCTGGGAGGCCAGCAAGGGAAAAGGTGTGTTGTTGGATTGTGTGATTTGGAGGAAGAGGAGGAGGGCAAGGGTCGGCAAGCCTGGGGTCCAGTGGAATGGGGGAGTAAAAGAAACAGAGGCTCCTATTTGGGCTGAGAGGTCCCTTTTCAGCAAGGGGACAGGACGGGTTGGCGCTACTAGGAAGGAGCGGGTAAGGTGCCGATCCCTAAAGATACAAAACTAAGTGGTAGGATTTGGTGAGGTTGGTAAGCTGCCCCCCTAACCTGACCATAGAGGAACAAGTAGGAGAGGTGCATCCCTAAAACACTGTCAGGACAAGCAAGTGACACCAGTGTCCAGTCAGAGATGTCTGCGGTTGGGCCCAGACCCCGTCATCCATGGCCAGACCAGGAAGTTGGCTAAAGGGCGATCTGGGCTTGATGTCCTCACACCACAAGGGACATGGAAGCAGTCAACACCCCAGTGCCTTTCTTGATGTCAGCTTGGACATGGTTCAGGTGGTTAATGGGGGTTTGGTCAGGCCTGGGATCTGTGACACTTCTGACTGCATTTGAAACAGGGACCCGGAGGTTCTCAGGTTTGGGCAGGCCAGGGAGCCTGGGCACTTGCTATGGCCTATTGAAAGGCCTTTGCCAACATCAGGTATTTTTGTTTGGGGGCTTTTTCATCTCCCCCATGGTACACTTTAAAGGTCACTGCTAAGACTTCTGTCTGTGGAATCAGGGATCCTTTCTTTAGACATTTAGGTTTGCCCTAATACAAGGGAAACTCTGGGAGAAGTAGCAGGTCATGAGAAGTTCCTTTCCATCCGGGGTCTTGAGATCCAGTTTGATATATATTAAGAGGGCCTTTGTAAGGCGGTCTAGGAATTGGATCTGTTTTTCATGTTTGTCCTGGATGACCTCTTAGATTTTTTTTTTCATAATTAGCACATTAAGCACTGGCCAGGAGGCAAATTATAAATTGGTCTGCAGCTTGAATGCCCTCAGCGGTATTGTCGTTCCATTCCTGGTCCTGGTTGGGACCACCTCAGCAGCAGTAGTTTGGCGGATTTCTTCTGCGTGTGCCCTAGCTTGGTCCCCGACTCGCTCTCACTCCTTGGGGAGGTTCCTGGTGAGAATCGCAGATTGGGAGATGTACTAGAACTCTTTAATGACAGTGATGAGAGAGATCGCCAGATAAGAAAGGAGTATGTACCCTGACCAAGTCTTCCACCCCATCAACACCACAAAGGGCCAGACTGGGGGGGGGGATCCAAAGGTGGGAGGACTAAGGGCTGCCAGTGGGCAGAAGGTGGGGGCCAGGGAGATTGATTAGGGTGGCCTGTCTGAAGAGGGAGGGGCCGGAGAGAAAGAGCTGTGGCTGACGCAACAGCAGGGAGGCTGGATCCAGAGCGGTTTGGGCTTCAAGCTGGGAAGTTAGTGGGAACAGGAAGAACAGAGCAGGGACGTGAAGAGGGTTAAGAGGAAGCTGGAAACACAGGGAAGGGGACCCTTCCCATTTCCCCCACCGTTCACAGTATTTGTAAAGGTCCCAAGTAACACTAGGATCCAGCATGCCATTAGGTGGCCGTTTGGATTGATTGTCTAAGGGGTCCTGAGGCCAAATTTGATTGGAAAGATGAGCAAATTTAGATTTCGGATCGGGTGCTACATGGAGAGGCTGAAAGTTTTCTAAAGGCATCCCAAGGGGGAATGAGAGGGCATGGAGAACCGTTCCCACAGGTGAGAAGGGGAAAGAAAAATGTCACTGCAGCCTGTAGGTCACTCACAGGTCTCCCCAGGACTCAAGGAGGACTGAAGGAGAACCATGTTGTTCATGGGTCACCAACACCCAACAGGAGGTCAGGAGCTTAGGCTGGCTAAGCCGGAGGAGAGACTCAGCTCCTGGTACCAGGGCTTTGTCGAGGACAGAAGGCCAGGCCAAAAACCAAGCTCTAGGAGAGCGTGTGTGTGCCATTCACAGGAAAAGGTTGGGGAATGGAGTCACAAAAGCCCTAAGGGTCTGGAGGAGCTGGGGGATTGTGGCAGCTGGGAAGGGAAGGCAGAAAAGGGCAGGAAGGGGAGCAGCAGCTCAGTGAGGCCTAAGGAAACCAGGACTGCAGCTCCAAGGGTGGGGGATGGGGTCAGGTGAAGAGGACCAGCCAATTAACGCCTGAAAGATCTGGCTGGGCTGGGAGTACCTCTGCCCTCAAGAGTACCAGAGGGATGCTGTATGCTCACTGGTCACCTCCTTGGACTCAAGAGAAATGTTCACACTGACCAAAGCGGAAACTTACCTAATTGCCATTGGTGGATTGGGTGTCGAGTGATTGGTGAGCCAACTTTCTGTTGCAGTGGACTGGAGATGAGGGATAGGGTCCCGGTGCAGCTCAGACCCCAAGGGGGCGGGCGTACAAACTCCAGGAGAGCCCATCCAAGTCACAGCAGCAATGTAAGTGTTGCAGCTCTAAAGGGAAAGGTATCCTGGCAGCTGGGAGCCAAGGAATACCACAAAGTCACACCGCATAACAAACCTCACATAAGAGATTTATTGTACTGAGAGGGGAAAAAAACCCAGAAGGGTGGCTGGGTCTGCTCGGGTGAGAAGAAGCAGAGGACCGAGCAGAAGACAGGGTTTATATAGGGTTTCTGGGAAGTGAGGAGTACTTTCCAGAGTGGCCTGAAATTGGAGGGATTATGTGGCCTAATCTTGGGGCAAGTTCAGAGATTGGTGGGATTTCTTTTCTGTAGCGCAGGGCCTGGTCACTCTCCCACCTCAGGGCAAGTGGCAGGGGGGGGGGTAGGAACGACCATCAGAGAAGTCTGGAGGGCAGGGCCTGGCCATTGTAGCTCTTCAGGGCAGGGCTGGGCTGCTCACTGAGGGGTCAGGCCTGGCCACCAGAGTAGTCTAGGGGTGGAGCCTGGTGGCCAGAGGTCTCTAGGGGCAGGGCTGACAACAGGAGTCTCTGAGCACACTGGCAGGGAAGGCTGTCCTGCTGCCAAGAGTTGTCATGAACAGCCAGCAGACACAGACACTGCCACTGACCCCAAGCCCTCAGGGCTGCCAGTGTGTACTTTATAGAACGTACGTACGTTCCTGGGGTCACATTCTGTTGAGCGTGAGCCTCCTAACTATGAATGATACTTCAGAACTGCTCCAGGAAAACTGATTCACAGTGCTTGCTCTTGACAGGCTGGTGCCCAGAGTGCTTCTGCTTTCAGCTGCCATCTCAACTCTGACTGATGTGACAGGAGTCCGACAGTGTGAATACAAGTGGCCCCCCCCAAGGCTCCTGGGGTGACTGCCTGGTCCCCAGCTGGCAGCCCTGCTCTGGCAGTGGAGAAGTTCGGGCTGATCAAGCAGATCCCTGGGAGACGGCCTCTGAAGCACGATCCCCAGTCCCTTCCTGTCTGCCCGGAAGGGAGCCCCTCCTCTACCATCCTCCACTGGTGATCCCGACGTCATGAACCCCGCCCTGCTCTAGGTCCTTCAGCGGGGAAGCCACCATGCCTGTTACTAATTAACAGCTGCTCCAGTGCACAGGAGGGGGCTCCCCAGCAGGCTGGTTTCTCTCGGGGGCAGTGCAGGGACGCTGACCAACACAAAGTCTGACTCCTTCCACCCCACACTGTACACTGAATTCTGTGCAACTCCACACTGCAGGGCCAAAGTTTAGCCACAGGCCCATGCTTCTGTGGGGGTGAGGGAGTGCTGGGGGTTGAATTCAGGACTTTACAGGACTGGCAAATCCTCTCCAATGAGCTACATCTCTGGTTCCACATCCCATGTTTAATGTCGGGCCAGCCCCAATCATATTACAAAAACCAAATGATCACCCACTACCATTTGGCTTGCTATCACTCAAATGCAAAATCCCCACCAGGAAGGCTTGGACAGCCCCACTCCTTGCATAGTCAGGTACTCTGGTCCTAGTGAGTTCTCCATGGGAAGGGTTTCACGCAGAAATTCCACATAGAAAGGCATTTCAGGCAATGAGAGTAATGTCAAAATGATCTACCAACAGGCAGGTTTTGTGAGAGCTTTAATGGCACAAAATGTTTATAGCTACAAGTTACACGTGTTCTGTAAACTGTAAGGAATGACGCAAGTGCTGACGAGACAGACGAAGGATGCTCATCACTCTGGCTCAGTTAACGCCAGGAGTTCCAACAACTGGTTCACGTGAGATTCGTCTCACGGCTGAGTCTCCATCTCACTCTTGACTGTAATCGAGGGACTCTGTTGCGCCGTTCTCTGTGCCGCTTTCCTCTTGACTTACAAACATCTGAGCCAGTTTTCATCAAACTTAAAATGAAGCCTGCTTTTCATTCCAAATTGTAAACAGGAATAAAGCTTTTCAAACATTATCTTAAATTTCAACTCCTGGTTGAATTCTGCTTTGCAATAGGACAATCTGTTTTCACTCAATGAGAATCTGTGTAGGAACATAAACATCCTGTATGTCAGGGCTGCAAACCAACACCACACAAGCTCACTGGTGGACAATTGTACTGTGACGTGTTCCATGATCTTAATGGTACTTTCACACATGGTAAAACTAAACTCAGCTGTGATGTTGAAACAAAATCCTCAGTGTCCCCGCAGTCCGATGGCACTGCTGGGAAACTGCTACTGCACTCATGAAGAAGGTGACGTCCGCCTGTGAGATCACCTCCTGAGTGACTGTGCCGCTTGCTCACACACAAGCACTGCCAACCTGCTGCAGTTTAGCTTCAGCAGCCCTGCCAATCTGATTCAGGCTTTTCAAAGACACACAAACAAACAGACAAACAGGCCACTTTCTTCCTAAAGAAATTCAAATACAAACACTTGAAATAAATAGGCGAGAAGGCAAATCAAGCGTCACCAGGTTTAAGAGCAAGACAGGAAAAGGGCAGAAGATGCCCACAATCCTTTAGACATTAAATGCCAGAAAGAAAAGAACTCACAAAAACTATTTTGGATATATTATCTTTCTTAAAGATAACAGCTATGTTCTTGAAAAACGACAGAAATGTCTTCCTAGCTGTGTTCCTCTCCATTTCCATATAACACACCAATCTTATAACCCTTTATGTGAGAGGGGAGTTAGTTTCTACATGCCAGCAAACCTGGTTGCCATATTGATTCAAGTCAACCTGGTGCACCACGTAGGTTGCTAGCTTTGAAATTCACCAAGGTTCTGCAACTACAGCAAGTCTCCATCATAGACAGTAATTAAGTATACAGAGAACAGACTCCTTTAGAGTCGTGCTATGTTCTGAAATCCAACAACATCTACTTGAGATCATCTGCGATCCTGATGCTGTCTAACAATTTGGTCCTAAAGCTTCACATTTTAGAAACAGACAGAAGAAAGTCTGCCATTCAAAGGATTTTCTGAGTACTGCAGAACATTAGAGCTTGACAGAACTGAAAAGACAACTCTGTGAGAAAGTCACCAGGGCCTGGGAGATCCTAGGGACGCATTGAGAAGACCGCAGCCAACGACAGGAAGTAAGGGGTCACAGAGAACGAATGGCATCTTTCCAGAACTTTGTCAACTGTTGCCAAAATCCAGGTCTGCTTTCTGAAGTTACACAAGTGCTTGGAGTACCTCTGAAGTTATTCTTCAGAGTGCAAAGGCTTCAGGGTGTAAGCAAAGCTTCCTAAGACAAGAAGCCTCTAGTAACACCACGAATCAGACTCGTTCCAAGTCTCTTCTTAGAAAAAAAAGAGAGAGAGAGAAAAGAAACTAGAAAAACAAGTAAAGAAAGTCATGAGAAATTCACATGCAGACAACACATGAAAATACCAAACGCACAAAAATCTCAAAAGCAATTTCATGTATGTCTAGGCCTGAGGCATTCCTTAAAAATAAAGACTCTCTATCATAGAAAAGATAGCACTGCGACCTACTAATGTTAGAACCGGCCAGTATGTTCTAGCCTGCTTTTCCTATCTGTCACCCCTACAGGCGGACCAGGAGGCTAGGAAAACAGTGGCCCAAAGCTGGTTGGAAGTCATTTTTATTGCCCAGGATATTTTTTTCCTTGTGTCTTGCTTTTATTATTTTTTTTTTTTGGTTTTGTTTTCTTTTGTTTTTAATAACTATAAATTCAAGCTTAGGGAAGCTTGTTTTTGTCCTGGAAAACAAAAACTAAACAAAGCTTTTATAGTATTGTTTGCAAACCTGACCTCATTTAGAAAGAGATGTAGTTGCATGGCTAGAATCCAGTTTCTAGCATGGATGATGCAGGTGTGACTCTGGTGGTACTAGAGGAGACGATGGCATTGTTGATAAGATTATCATCTGCTGGTGGCATTGCTGAAAAAAGCCCTTGCAAATTTCTAAATGACAGTAAACTCTGTTAGGAATCTCTAAAGTGTCTGACAGGCCAAAAAGGGAACAAGGTTAGTAAAATGCCTCACAGAGCCTGAGGAAAATACTGGATTTGAGAGTTACTGGAATTGGGTATGTAAAAATGGGGTTGTAGGTTGGGGATCATGCTTACAATAGGTCTCAAATTCAAACTACAATACAGCACTTCACAGGCCACGCGCATTTCCAGAGGCTTTTCGTTTCCCTCAGTAGGTGCTGGCAGAAGGTGTGCTCAGTCGTTTTCCAATATAGATGCTGAAAGGAAGCAGAGCGTATCATGGCCCGTCCATTCCCACAGTTCCACCAGCCTGGCCCATAGGTCATCTCTATTGAAAACCTCAGCCAATACTTCCCAGACTCCCTGGGCCTCCACGCCTCTTCTTCCTTCTATCTGTTAACCAAGCATGCTCCCACTGAGTTACAGCCCACTGACTAGCTCATCCCAGATGGTTTTATAGGGTTCCGTCTACTCATTAAGTCAGGACTGGAAATCACAAGGGCAGTGATGTTAGGACCAGGTCAAGCTAGGAAAAAGAGAGACCCCTTCAAAACCCAAAGCAGTCTTCCCCAGCCCTCAGATGTTTCTGTTTGGATGACTGTTCTACTGCTATTTCAGATCTAGAGAGATGGTCATAGAGACAGTGCTTTTAAGATGGGACCTAACGTGTGAGTTCCCAACACCAAGCAAGAAAACGACCCCTTCCACAGCAAAAGCAGAGTGCCAAGGAAACAAGTGGCATAATCTTCAACGTAGTAACAGCAATTTTTAAGACCCTTAAAAACATTCACCTGTAGCAAGAGCTAAACTTAATTAAAGTAACAAAAACAGCTTAAAGATACATGAAAGCAAGAAATACTGCCAGGCTTCAAAACCAAGCTTTTTAAGGTAAATGAACTGAACAGTTGGTATTAAGCAGGTATTAGTAAGAGTCCTCCCAAGCTCCACAGTGCTCCCACCCTGCTTCCTCCACAAGTGCCTCCTACGGCACTGCCTGTATATACTGGTCCTGTCTTTACCAGCAGATCCTCTACCGAGGAGACAGTAAAAGATGCACATGTGCCCAGGCTCCAGAGCGGGCACTTCCCTCTGCTATGCTGAGCCACTCAGAGCAAGATCAGGGATGATCCACTTTCCATGCATTAGACACAGAAAATGACTCACTGCGCATGCTCACAGTGCGGCAGGTAGGTCTTGGAAAATTAATTAAGCTAATGCTTACAAATTGAAATCCTTCAGAAGTATATTTTCTTAAATATTCAAATCAAGAGAAAAAGCCATTAATTGAAAAAACATGCCACAAGTTAATGAATTAAGGTAAACATGAGGCTGACTTTTGAATAAATGCCACAAAGTTAAAAGAAAAAGACAGTACCTACAGCAGTCTACCAGTGTATTCAAGAATCATCCTCCACAATGGTGTGTTTTACCATCTGGGGGGAAAACCATTTTGCATTTACTCCTACATTTATATTGAATAACATAAATTACTCACAATTAGCTAAATTTTAAATAACTCAAAAAAGACAAGTAGTCATGGAAGAACCCCCTGGGGCAGTACTCCCCAGGGAGGGAAGGAGCGCAGATGGCTCTTTTGATCTGAGCACCTCACTGCCCATTACCAGTAAGTGCTGCGCTGGCATCAGGGTACTTACCCCAGCCCCAAAGCCAACACGTGAGAGAGGAAGAGAGACGGGATGAAGACCTTTAGGAACTCGGCAGAGAAAATGCCCCCCTTCTTCATGGCTCCACTCTTCCTCATGCTTAGAGACACAGCACGCTTAGGGTGTCTGAAATGGAACTCTCTGGGGAAGAAGGTGACACAGAGACTGGGTTCAGAATGCAAGTGCTGTAGATATCCTGGGGACTACCAGCCCCGAAGACAAGCACATAAAACACACCACCAAGACACATCAGGACTTACTTGGGTGGGATGTTTTCAGGTCTACTGGACCAGTCTGATACCCAGTCTGCACTTTTCTTCAAAGCCTCAACTTCTTTCTCTCCTTCAACAACTTCTTCTTCTGACTAAAAGGAATTCAAATAGTGAGAGGAGAGGAACAAGAGAAAAACAGAAAAGGAAGACCAATCCCTTTAAATACAAAAACAAACTAAAAAGTTATGCATTAGTCATTTTTATGTAGGAAACAACCTGTTTTCTGAAAGGGCTCCAAACTGACCTAAGAGCATAGCAGAAGAGCAAGTGAGCCTGACAGAGGCTGCACTGAAGGACAGACTGTGATCTGCACGAGCCCTCATAGGGAGCTGACGGCGCCCTGCAGCTGGTGCTGCTGAACCCAACGGTGCACACGTCGAGTTCACACTATCTTATTTTCAATTGCATTTAAATTTTTCAGAACTAGAAAAAAATAAAGAGAACACACCAAAAAAAGATGTGAAAACAAAATAAATCGACGAGAAAGTTGGCAGAGATGTGGTAAATCACGATGCTGCCAAACACCTGAGAGAGGGCAACATCTACTTAAGCTGCTCACATGCACTAATCTTGACCTTGGACAACCCCCAAACAGAAACTGTGCACTCCATTCTACTGAGGAGGGCAGGGCTTGTGTGGAAAAAAAAAAATGTTTACATTTCCACAAGCTTTTTCTTGTTTTCATTTCTTTGAGAAAGTATCTTGTTCTGTAGCCTAGGCTGACCTGTAATTCATTATGTAGCCCAGGATGGCCTTTCACCTCCCAAGTGCTGGGATTATCGACTTGAGCTACTATGCCTGGAAAGCTCTCCTTTAACAGAAACTAAGGGGATGAGAAACTAAAAATGATACATTAGTTGTATTGACTCAGTTTTAAGGAATGTGAGGCTGTGACTGCAAAGTGCAGTCTTAAAACTACTGAACACTCTGATTTTGACTAACAGGTGAAACCAC